TGTCAATAACATATACGATCATATACATTACAGATCACCAGTAGCGGAGAAGTCAAAATGTTGCAAAACAAAGCTTAGTGTATACATACCTTTAACTGAACGTCTTGTTAGTCCTGGCCGGTTTAATTGGCATTTTGGCGAGTTTTGCACTTTGAGGTACTTCATTTTCGTATTTAGTGGATAATAGCGGTAAATAAGGTTTTTGGAATTACAGTTTAAGGGGTCATGTGTACGTCGTTTCTCTTTGGTGGAGGTGAAGGCGTAGTTGGATTGGCCTTGCTTTTAAAACGAACAGCTAAGGCAGCGTGGATGATTGCATTTTGAAACGACAGAAACTACAGATCTTTTTCCCCCGCCAAAAGTTGGAAGTGACATTCGAGCGAACTACACTGACTGTCAGCTCTCGTGATTCCGACGATCCGAAGATGTCACAAATTATATTTACTTTCTTATTTTTTATCTATCTTACATATTTATCTTCAACATTTATTCATCTTATTTATTTATTTATCTCTTATTTTCCGCCATCCGCCATCCGCTATCCGCCATCCGCCGTCCACCGTCCACCGTACGCCATCCTCCGTCCGCCATCCTCCGTCCGCCATCCTCCGTCCGCCGTCCGCCGTCCGCCGTGCGCCGTCCACCGTCCGCCGTCCGCCGTCCGTTTCCTGCTCGTTTTACAGGGTCCTGCGAATTGGCGGATTTTTCTTCATTGAAGGCTATTCTTCTAGGAAGTGTCATTCTTAAATCAGAATATAAAAAAGTTTATCAAAAGGAGATTAACAGAACGTGGAATGCTGTTATCCGAACGCGCCAGCCTTGTGCTTTCGTGAGAGTGGCTTCTGTCGAAGATGTGGCCAACACTGTTAAGTTTTGCGTACACAACAAGGTAGGGTAAGCAGGGGTTCACTGGTAACGCATTAACTTGAAATCCAGCTACGCTCTTATTACAACAAAAGACAAAAAGGCAGCTGTATTTAATTGGCCAATTATCCCATTATTGTGTTCATGATCTACCTTGGTTAGGTCTTTAAAATTATTGGAGGTTTGCTCATTGCAATAAACAGCATAAAGGTGGCTCAGGTTCTTCTGAAACATGTCTCGTGAGTCATAATAAATATGTGACTAGTCTGTTTCTATAAAGGTGATCTACACGTACAGCTGCTAAATGATCTGTGACCCTCTATTGTTCCATACTAACAAAATGTGTCATGATTCAATTATACGTCAACTCTAAATAATATTATAACTGCATAATGCTTTTAACATATAGATTTAGCCAAGGCTAAAAATTTATGGCGAAGTTCTCGCGCGCGCGAAGCGCGCACAGCGGAGCACCATGGGTAAGAAAATATGGTAATCTATGCTTCCGAGAAATTTTGGTTCTGAGAAAATCGTCCGTACGGAGTACGTCCGTACGTACGTCCACCCCCTCATGTTAGCGGTTGCGAAATGGCACACTTTAATACTATCTGTGTAAAACTTGGTATTGGACATTCATGTTGTGATCAATTGACAGCTGTTAAAAAGGTATCCGCTGACCAGTGTCACATGACTGCATCGCGGGCTCAGGTATACAACTCATGGAAGTGATGTAATTTTTTAAAGTTACCCGCTGACCACTTGTTCCTTTTTAATTCATCGCGGGATCAGAGTTCAGTTTGCTCTCTGCTTACGGCCAAAATATAATTAATTGAGAAAGACATTTCCTAAAGCATCCTTCGAGAGATACGCTTTTGGCCTTGGCTAAATCTGTATATCATTATTTAATTACTTAAACCAAAAAATTAAAACAAATAAGTTTTAAGCTATGCAAATCTAGAAGTTTATACTTAACTGATCTTAAAACAAAAAGAGAAAAGTATAAATCAAATTCGATCACAGTTATAGTCTTGGAAAAGAATTCTTGCCGATACGCGTGCATCGCTAACTGGGAATTGGGCACTAGGAAGCTTATGTTTGGTGCTCACTCAGGCAAATTATTACATTGCTCTGTATGCCCAAGCTATATAACCTGTACTGTAAGTTATACTTTTTGTTTCTTCTGCCGAAAAGACCCAGGAAGGTTGATAACTATATTTCATTTCTCCCTGCTATTCTGTAAAATAACTGTTAGAAGGAGAAAATATTGCTTAGAAATTTCCAAAGCTTGAGAAAAGCTAAAAAATTCTTGATAACCGTTCCATTCGTCTAAAATATTCGGAGGTTTTCTAATAGGTTAACTACGATTTTCGGAGGTTGTGTTTTCACATTTTGATATCAAGATATTGTGATTATTGTTAAAAAAAGGTCTCCTAAAACTTTCGGTGTAAAGACAAAACGTCCCGTATAATTTTCTATGAAAGCAAGGCTACTTCATGTCCTCGAACTTTCGCGCGGTCCGATGAGGGTAGCTAAGACTTTTATGATGAAACGAAGAAGCCACCAAAAAAACTTCGTGACCTAAAGCATAGAAAAAACCATTTGTAAGCATTCGGTCTTTGGGTGCCCTTGTGTTGTCCGCCGTTAGGGCGTGCTTGAAAGTAAATGCAGACGCAGCTGTCGATGAATCCCTTTGCGACACTTTCCGTACCCTACTGATTTTTTTTTTAAATATGTTGTAAACTCCGAAGTAATTCTATCTGCAATGGTAACTTACCCATCCATAATTTTTGGAGGTTATTTAACATAAGCCTAGAACTGGGAGTGATTGAATGATTTTCAAAAAGACACCTGTTACATAATGTAAGCAGGTTTTTTAAGAAATATTGGTATCAGGAAAAAAGTAATATGAGCTTGCTGTTTGCTTGAAAACGGTCTCTGATTCCAATACACTATTTCTCGAGCTCCATGTTTTCCCAGGTCTTATGGTATGTGTATGAACAAAGGCACTCAAGACCAGGTGCAAGAGGGTACTGGAAGCACTTAAAGCCATATTATTCAGCAGTAAAGAATTGTTTTAGTCTGAATGGCAGTGTTTTTATCCTTTTTTCAGCTTGAGATGTGTGTTTCTGCTGCAAGGAACAGTGACTTTGCATTGGCCGATGATGCTGTGGTGATAGATTTGTCATATCTGAATACTGTTACTGTGGATGTTCAAAGTAAAGTATGTATGCAGTTTCATTTTACATAATTTACATAGTATAATTAATGCATATAAAAATTATTATATTACAATTTTACTTCTGATATTTCGCGCGGTTGCGGGGCCGCGAAATTCAGGTAAATCCTCGAAATCCCGGAAAATTCACAAAAACACGCAAAATTCGATAAAAAAATCTTATCAAATACATGTCGATACAACATATTTGAAACGTATTTCGGCTATTGGGGCTGTTTAATTGCCGTTACAGTATGTTGCCCAGTATCCGGACAGTACCAGTATCCGGACACTTGAAACAAGAACTCAATTTTTGAGGGGCCCTTTTCAGTTATCGGTAAACAAAGTATTTCGAATGAAAGCTGAACATTTCAGCTTTAAGATGAAAGTTTTGGAGATTTGAAAGCTTGCGAAACAGTCGCAGAAGACGCCGTTCTGTTCAGGTGAGTAAACTTTTCATGGCTAATATTTACGCTGTTTACCGTGCAGTAAAGTTAGTGCTGCTCAGAAAAGGGAGGGTAATCAGCGCCGTAGCTAGTATGAGGCCAACCGAGGCACTCGCCTCGGTAAAATTTTGACGAATTTCGCCGATCATTTTTATTTTACACAAGCGATCATCGGATATTTTTAACGCATCATGATATTACAAAGAATTCAGCAATTCAGTCAATATACTATGAAAAAATTACCATATCATCGATCTCAAGGGGCTACGTACGTTAACTCAAATTTTTTTTGAACAAATACTGATCAAAACCATTGGCGAGGTTAACGGTCACCCAGATTATGTAGCTTGTTTCTGATTATTGCTTTTTAAATTCCACTTAAATTAACTCGAAAAAAAGTTACCGAAAGGCCCAGAAAACGCTGCAAATCGCATTTCCGAGAGACTAAAGTTCAAAATTTCCCGGGGGGGGGGGGGCATGCCCCCGAACCCCCCTAGCAACTCCCGCCTGCCTCGGTTGGCCGTTTGGTCTGGCTACGGCACTGGTAATGTGTGATATTTTCAAAGAAACTGTTTTATTTTTAAAGTGAAGATACTTAAGGAAGTCAGGTTTTCAGAAAGTTTATTCATTCTTCTTGAAATTCGATTTGTTTGGAATAACTGAAGCCAGAAACATTCACTAAGCTTTGATGTCATGTGCCCAGTATCCGGACAGTTTTTTCTTTGCTGTACAGAATCGATGAATTAGTTGTGTACATTCTCCGGATAAGATTTATTTCATATCAGTAACTATAATTAAAGCTTAGGATATATGATATAGTCGTAAAATGTAACTCTACTCAACTCCGTACGGAAATTTTCTTCACTCATTCAGAGTCGACTTGATTTCGTGTGCACGGCTTGTTTCGCGTGACTGCATTTTCTATTTTTAACTGAAAGCGTCTGAGTTGAACCTAGAATTCTCATACTTTCCCCAGTTGGGACTGCTAGAATGGGGTTGCAATGGTCTAAAAAATGTCACAAAGGGATTGAGAGATGTGAAAGAAGGAGGAATTAGTGCTAGAAAAGCAGGCTCGTTGTGGGGACTGAGCATGAAGAAATCAACACTGCAGGTCAGACTAATAGGAGAGTGACCTTTGACCGTCGGGTTGAGATCCCTTCCCCAAGCTTTTCTTTAAATAAACAATGAAGAAAGAAAGTCGTTTGCAGATTGGCTAATTGAGCTTGCAAACTGCGGCTTCGGCATGTCTCCGGATGCCTTCCTTAAATCAGTGAAAAAGTTCCTAGACAAAGAAGTGAGAATTATACCATTTTTAAAACAGCCGCTCGCGTTCCCCACCATACCCCAGTCATTTGTTATGTTTTATTTCACGATGCCAAGTTATATTTTCGGAATCGATTGCCAGACTACTTTGCAAGTGCAAGAGAAGCTTATAAGTCGCTCGCCTGTCGAAATTTATGTACAATTACGTTGTTATTGTTGTGTCCGGATACTGGGCCAGCTGTCCGGATACTGGGCAACATAGGAGCTCTGCAAAAATATTAATTTCGCGATGGAAACAAAGGCAAAAAAGTTAAACTATCTTTCGTCATATTAAGGGCTAGATAGATTTTCTCTGAGCCAAATTTCAGAGCTCTTGCGATTAACAAAGGAAAGTTATTGCAATTTTAAACTGAAGTGTCCGGATACTGGGCAACATACTGTAACTTGCAAATTTATCTTGAAACTTCGTCACCGCAATGAGTAAACAACGTCTCAAAACTACCAGGCGTAAATTATGCTGCAAAAACTGGGCACTAGTCGTGATGTTAAAAGCTTTGTCATTGGCTCATGTCTCGAGCGCCGCATTGTTGTTGAAAGAGCAATGATTATCTCTGTTTAAAAAACATTAAAAACGGTCGTCAATCGGCGCAAAAACCGATCGATTTCTAACAAAATTTGCCCAGTAAATTTTCCCGAAATCAGCCGTTTTTTAACCGATTGTTTTTCGGCAAAGTTTGCCCCGAATATCCCCGCGAAATTCCCGCGAAATCGACCGATTTTTCTGCGAATTTGTCTCTGAAAATCCCGCAAAATTTGTCTTTTTTCCGCGACCTATCAGAAACCCTGTTTTTACTAGGAAATGATATACAGTAAATTACATCTAATGAAATTCTTAAAATTGCATGCATGTGCAGAATCATCTGAAGTCTGACAGTCTGAAATGTTGACTGTTAAACAATTTATTTTAGGTAGTTGTTGTTGGAGCGGGTGCTAAGATGGCTGATGTTGATGAAAAAACAGTTCCTCACTCTCTTGTTACGCCTCTTGGTAGCTACTCCCAGCTGGGCGTGGCAGGACTTACTCTTTTGTGTGGCACTGGGTTCCTGAGCAGGTCATATGGGTGTACTGCAGACAATGCTTTGGAGTTTGGTAAGTAAAATCTTATTTAGATAATTCACCTGGCTCTCTAGGATAGTCAGGATAGAAACATGATGATAAGAAAAGATGTCCCCTCACTGCACTAATAGACAAAATATCCCTAGAAAATTAATGTAAGTTTACTGTCAAACTCAGAAAACCGTGAACACCTGAAAAATTTCTGGAATGTTGACTGTGTAGTTACCAATCACAGTAAAGTTCAGGACACGCGAGCAAACCTCAAAACTGCAAACTTTATGGTTAATGTTTGTGGTTTGGTAATCTAACGCCTTATTGGCTTTTTCCTCGCAACACGATAACGTTCCATAAATATTTCTGGTCTTCACGCTTTTGTGTGTTTCACTGTAAAACAGGCATGTTTTACTAAGTTTGGGTACCAACTGAAGATTAGCACCCAGTTAGGTATTCGTATTGTTTTTAGGCAGAACTCAAAATTTTCATTTAATTCTGTACTTGAGTCTATGAACATAATAGACCTTTCCTGTGCTCGAAAATACCATTAAAAATATAATTGATGTCATAAAAATTAAGACCTGGTGGTTGTTGTTCAGCACAAAAGTCATTTTTCTTAATTTACGAATTCTTAGAGTTGGTTACAGCATCAGGAGAGGTTATTAAGGCAAGTGAGAAAAACAATTCAGACTTGTTCTGGGGGATGAAAGGCTATGGCTCTAACTTTGGGTAGGTTTTGGATAATGTATGCGTACAAAATGAAGTGAACTGCACATTTTTTATATCTGTAAGAGCACTGGAACTTCCGCACAGTGGCTTACAAGTACACCCCTCTGCAATAGCCCAGGAAAATTGTTCTGGTCGTCAGTCTATCCATTTACTATTTTTGGAGCATCGCATAGCAGCCTTTTCTAGACAATAGCAACAAAATCTGTGTACTATTTCATTGTTGCAAACCAGAAAATGCTCTCAGAATAACTTATGTGGCAGTCATCCGTCCTTGCTAAAAAATGCAATAAGTTGTTCTTTTGCTTCAGTCTATGAACATGATGGTAGAGAAAACTTAATAACAGTGGAATATTTTAACACTATCACCACCCAGCCCCAGTTGTTCAGTTGCTATCCACCAGGTTAATCTCTGTTCCCTGGATAGCCCAATTGCTTTCCCCAATACTTTGTCTTATTCACTGAGTATTAATTTATCCAGCTTGGATAAAGCTATTTAGTTTTTGAGCTGGGGCCAGGTCTATATAGAAGTCCGTGGAGAACTTTCATTGATGGATCTCATTACCCCCCTATACAGTCGAAGCCTATGACTGTGACCACCTATTTGGGTCATAAAATTTGGGCCAAAATAACGCGGCCATATTAAAACGGTGGAGTGGAGTCTGGCAGTCCAAGTTCAAGCGTCTTGCCATTTTGTTGCTTCCGTTTGACAAGAAACCTTGCTCCACTTTGTCACTCTTCACTCAGGTGTATTAATGGGTACTCATGACATACTGCTGGCAGGTGACCCTGCAATGGACTAGTATCCCATCAGGGTGGGGGGGGGGGGGTGGCAATACTCTAAATGCTTCATGCTAGTACGGAAATTGGCCATGTAGGCTTCACTGACTTGTGTGTACCTTTATCTTTTATGTTAACAGCGTGATAAGCGGGGTCCCCGCATACTTCCTAACGGTGACCACCGGCTAGCATGGCTGTTATATAGTCATTTCGCTCTAAGGAAATCGTAAACCCCTCAGGACCCAACATAAAATATCGGACTAAACGTTTGTGCCTTTTGTTTCCCATTAGAGTAGTGACATCCATAACATTTCAGCTCCATGATATTCCTGACCAAGTCATGGCAGGGGACCTGTATTACTCCATTTCTCAAGCTCCAGGGGCATTCAAAGATACAAGAGACTTCATTCGTGAAAAGGAAGATAACAGAATTTCAGTCTACATGATGGTGCATTTTAAGTCTAGTGGGTAAGAACGTATTCATGTCAGTTGTTATCCGTGCACACCCCTTTATTGTTTCTCCATGTACAGTTCCTCCTTCTTAACTTCCAGGCACCCGCTCTCCACCTAATGAAAAGAGATGCTTCATTATCCTGCTTAACCTAAAAGCTGAACCTAAAACCTATTAATTAATAACAACTGATGACCAATTAGAAATTTTGTATTTCAGGTGAACAAACCCGCCAACCCTTTTCCTTCCCTGTCAAAAATCTGATCCCTGCCCTTAAGGTTAACCATACTGGATGCAACTTGATAAGCAGGGAGAGTAAATTCTAATACTTTCCTTGCTCATCATTCGTGAGCGAGGCGAAAGCATTGAGCTTGACCTCCTGCTCTACAGACAAGTTCTCTACTTACTAAGCTAGCCATTACCTCTTCTCTTACTTTGCAGACCTCAAGTGATCTGCCGTTTCCTTTTTATTGGCCCGCCAAGAGAAGGTGGAGAAATTCTAATGGAGTTAACAAATCGGACGAAACCTATTGATAACAAAGTGAAGCCCATGCCATTTGATCAGTTCCAGAAGAGTGGTGACTGGATGGTTCCCAGAGGGCGGTTTTACTATACACCAATGGGAGCATTTGCTAAAGGTATGACTGAAGGCAATGTTTTCATCTGTTTTTTTTTTATTAATTGTTTAATTTTTGGTACGCTAAACTTCAAAAAATGTGATTTTTTTAGAGTATTATACAAGCTTTAAGTATAGGTTGTGATACCAATGTAGAGTGTGTTTAAGAAATTTCTGTTTACTTTTTAAAGTCTTTTTAAAGTCTTAAAGGACATCCGAATGAGGACTTACCTTCCCAAAAAGACAGAAAATGTAGGGCATCGAATTGGCGTTGGAGATATCAAGAAACTGCATCAAAAATACCCAACGATTTAAAAATGTCTTTATTGCCGAACATGGCCTTTGCATTGAAGACGAATAATACATTTCTTTTGTTTCATTCTCCCAAGCCTCGTAGCTAAGTATTAATTTTAATATATTGAAATTGGTCTATCTGTAGGGTGGGCCTATGATGGCGCTGGGCTTAAGGCCCTGCGCCCTGTTAATCACGCATACGCCACAATCAGCGCGAGCCAATCCAAGTGCTCGCCCCACTTCCCCTCTCCACCGGCCTTCCCTCTTCCTAGGAAAGGCCGATGCTGCCGGCAGCCTGAAACCTCTCAAGCGTCCTCAGCTGAGATGTAAACTCCCAACAAAACAAAGTTTACTTAAATTTTCTGGATGGTTGTTAGCTGGCTTTCCTTGTTAGCCTGTTTCTAGAATCCCCCCTGCATTGTTAACAAAGTTTCTGATTTTTCTAAACAGAACTTAAAGATGAGTTAATTGATATGATCTTCGACGAAGTCAACAACGCCCCCGAATCACAAACGATAACACCTAGCAACATTTATGTATCAAGCCTTGGAGGAAAACTAAATGAAACGACAGACAATGACAACCCATTCGCTTTTAAAGCAGCAGGGTATGCAGTTATATTCTTATCTGTGAAGTCATTTCCATGAAATACTAATCACTCGCTTCTTTTCCATACCCTCTAGTTTTCGCGTTCAATTCCGCGACATTTTCGGAATTATTCGGAACACTCTTGGACATAGGACTAACGTATAGGTCGATCGCGGTCCGAATACTTTGAGTCATCTGAGAATGCCTTCGGGTCAACTTTAGTCTCCCTCGCAGCCGTTTTTAGTATCGTCACGCAACGCTCCTCCCCGAGCGTTGCGTGACGATACTAAAAACGGCTGCGAGGGAGACTAGGTCAACTTCGGAAATATTTTAAAATTAGAGGAATTCTGCGACTCCGAGTCAAAGTTTTTGGAAATCTTCTGATCTTCTTAGGGAAGGCTTGCAAGTCTTTTTTTTTTCTTGTCAGATACTGGATTGGTCCCGTAGTTGGTACGCAGGATCCAAACTCGTATGACGTCATAAAGACATGGGCCGACAACATCAATCAGAAACTGTCCAAATATGGAATCTTCCAACAAGGCCCCGAGGCTGAAAAAGTTATGCAGAGACTGAAAGAGTTGAAACTAAAGTACGATCCTCAAAATGTCTTCCACCAGAACGTGAATATTGATCCTAAAAAGGAATAGGCTTTTAGTTAGGTATTTTAACTTGTTTTAAAGGTAGCAAACAAACAGATCAACCTGCAACAGCTGCAGAAAAATTCGACGTCGATCGTGACAGCTCACGACTCCCCTTCAACTCAGTGAAAACTTTTTCTTTTAAATTTTAAGGTGATGTTGCACGGAACGATTCGCAACGACGATTTTTGGCGCGACAGAGCGTTGCAACATTGTTGCGACATTGTTTCGAATGGTTACAACATTGTTCCACCATTGCAAAGCTGTGTTGCGCTAAAAATGATCGTTGCGAATCGTCTCGTGTAACATCACCTTTAAATCAGATATCATTAGTGACGGCTGACGTTGAGTTTAATACAACTGGCTCCTGATAACATTTAGGAATTCAAACACGTTTGCTCAAGTTGTAAACGTGGTCTTTAAAATGGTATTGGTCGATGTTGTCTGTAATAGGGAGCGTTAGGAACGACGACAGCAACGTCAACGAGAACGTCAAAAAAGGAAAGGTTTAATAAGCAAAACAACAACTTTGAACGTGCAGCACGCTTTTTTGTACATTCTTTTGCCGTCACTGCACGAATGCCTCAAAGAAACACGAAACGCGACAAAGTTTGAAATAACGCGAATTAATCTTTAAACTCATGTTAGCGTTTTCGGTGCCGTGCCGACGTCGATGGGGGGGGGGGGGGGGGAAGGGGGGGAATGGAAAAATAGTACTAGTACGAAACAGGCTCTTCACCCTTCCTTCTGCTCTACCCCCCCCCCCCCCCCCCCCCCTCCCTTTTTACATCGCCCCCTCCCCAAATAACCTTTTTAAAAAACTTTTTTTCACAAAGCCAAAAACACAAACACAACGAGAAAAATTTTAAACAAACCGAATTTAACTTTACATGTTTGGGTGGGTTTTGGGGGCGGGGGGGGGGGGGGGGGGGGGGGGGGGGGGGAAGGAGGGGAATGGAAATATAGTACTAGTACGCAACAGGCTCTTCACCCTTCCTCCTGCTCTACCCACCCTCCCACCCTCTCGTCTCCTTTTGACGATAGCCTGCTCACAGATAAGCTTTATTAAAAAGTCTGTTTACAATGAGCAAAAGTGAACTAAGTCTTCTTTCTTAGCAGCCTAAAAAAATTGTCCCTGCCTTCGAAAGGAATTTTTTGGGGAGTGAGTATGTTTAATTTTCGCGGTAAATAAATCAGTATCGAACTACCTCACACTAAAACCACTAAAGTATTGTTTTTTGTCCGTTAAGTTATTAGCTGTGCCAGAAAAACAGGAAGGTTTTTGATCTTATATAACTGTTTTTAGGTGAGAAGTAAGAAGTACCGTACTCTAGTACTTAAATATAATTAGAGTATACTATACAGTGTCGTTATAATCTGAGTAGGTCCAGCGGCATATATAGCTCGAAATTTCAGGTGATTTTCAGGTATAGTGCCAAGCCGGAATTACGTCGGTTTCCATACAAACTACAATTAATTATAATTCATGGAAATTCAATGGAATTTAATTGTTCTAGTTTATCAAGACATAGTATCATTTCAGTAAGTGATAGCAACCAGTTTACCACGTACGTCTTGTTTATCACTCGCCACGGTTATTACGCATTATTAGGAATTTTAGGATGTAAAAAAGGACATCGAAGGTTAGAGAAAAGTTTAGACACTTAAACATTTTGAAATGTAACGAGGATGCAAAACAACGTAGAACAAATAAAAGTTGATTTTTTTTTTCTCGTTTAGTGGATTGTGTCCTTTCTTGCCTTTTCTGAATTTCAGGATATTATAAAATTGTCCTAAGTCAGAAAAGTAAGGGTCTCCTAGTAACATCATGGCTTATGGGAAGCTGGTTATACTTTTCTTGCATGCGATAAACATCTCTCTCCTTTGCATCGATCGGAAAACAATTTCTAAATAAGGTTTTGGTGAAACTGTTGCGAGGTGGCCCTGTGCAGAAGATCAGTTTGACCGAAATGAGCATTTTTCTCCTTTCAGGAGCTCGGCTGGAATTAAGATCAGTCACTCTTTTGACCAGGTGTTTGTTTGGTGCTCTGGCTGATGATACTAAAACGGGGAACGGGAAGCGGGGAACTAGCAAGGTTAGGTTTTGTTCCCATTTTTTCATTTTCCTGTTCGATCCTCGTGCTCGTTCTCCGCTCCGCCTATTCTGGGCAATTTTACGTTACCAAGGCGAAATGACGTCACGCATGATCAAGGGAGCGGCTCGCAATACTATATTTCTTTTGCCTTTTTGGGGGAGAATTCATTTGATTTTAGTTAATTAACTGAGTAGAGTAGAACAGCGGCAAACTGACAAACTAGTTGTACAAATTGAAATAAATGGCTGATTCAAGTGTCCCTCAGTCGTGCTACCCTAGCAACCAAGACGTCAAAAACTGACTGGTTATTCTACTTATTATATACTAAGAGGCAATACCGTAGGTGCGCGGACTAAGTCTCTTTTCGGTTGAAAGAGAACAAAAGCGAAAGTATGTATACCAAAGCAGTCATGTGATTTTTATGTTTTATCACACAGGAGATACTACCTATGAGGAAGTTAAAAAAGATTTTCCAACTCTCTCGAATTCAGTTTCTGAAAGCTGTCCGACGGGTAAAAACATAGTAACCGAACATTAGAGCGGTTTTCATTTGAGTGTCGAAAAGTAATTGGTTTTGCACTTTCTACACGATGCGATTGGCTTAAAAGATTCGCGCCACCTTTTCACCCAGTCAGAAGTAAAACCAAAGCCAATTGTGACGCGCTCGCATGCATTTTCCCGCGCTTTGCGTCAGCCACATGTAATTACTTCGAGTTTTGATTGGTTCAATGTATTGTCTGTGTCCTATGTGATTGGCCAGAGTAATTACTTTGGTTTTGGTTTTACGACACTCAAACGAAAACCACTCTAACGTGAGGATATTGTTTTGGTCGGTCTTCAGAGCGAAGACAAAACTGTTATCTCTGCTGCTGGTAATGAAATATAACTTTACTCCTTAAGAATAAGTATTAACCATTATTATAAATATTATTATCATAATTATTTGAAAAGGATCCAATATTTTTAATTTTCTTCTCACCTCCACAAATTTGACTGAGATCAACAAACTAAAGTCATTGACGAGAGAGAGACTACGATATTATTGGCGCTGTTATGATGACCAAAGCGCATTTGTGTCAAGAAGCAGAGAACCCGAAACGATTGTGACATGTATTTTGACAGAGCCGTTAGAATTGATGATATTTAACCTGTATTTTAGAAACTTGCGCCAAAAGAAAAGCGAAAATATTTTGATTTATGTCACGAGAAGGGTGTGTGTTTTCTTTGGATGAAATTAAAACGTTTTCTGCCCCGACAACGGGTTGTGATGGTTCACGTAACGTACCTTAAATAAATAATGACTAACGAGAAGAGCCAATAGAAACACCACACCCTCTCTAACAGCAAATAAAATAAAATTCCAGGGATTAAGAACCGGTCCGTATTATTAGCTCTAGCTTGTCAAAATGTTATCGTTTTTCGTCCTTTTTGCTGTATTTGAAGTTTCTTTTGCCCTTGGCATATCAAACAATGTGTATAGGCTGAACGCGCAAGACTTCGCGGGGAACTTGCGAGATAAGGACATTATGCTCGTGGAATTCTACGCGCCATGGTAGGTACCTTTCACCTTTATAAACAAAGAATTTTATGCTTGACTGGTTTATTTGTCTTGAGCCATTTTTTCGACACAAATACGATTGGTGAGGGCGTATTCTCTGTGATACTTCGATTCGGATTCAGTCGAACCCAACGGGTCAAATTAAAGTCAAATTAAGCGACACGATGGATCAGGTAATCTTCAAGCCCTCTTGGAGTCAATTTTACATGAAATGCATTACTTTGTCGCATTTTGATATCCTAGTTTCCATTTCCCTCGAACAACAACTGATCCCAAATTGACAAATGGGTTTTAAGATGTTATTCGTAATCTTTAGTTAAAAATACTCTGGAAAGTATTGCTTGACTGTTGGTTTCAATCAACAGGTTATTTGCCTGTTTGATTAAAATCATCTTATCTTAAGAGGGCTTAATAAAGGATGTCAGTCATGGTGACTAAAATCTTCGTTTGAATATAAAACCTTGAAATCTGATATGCACCACTGTAAAGCGCTTCCTAAGCCTGTCAGTATCGAATTTTATCGTTCGGAACCGTCTCTACCGAGGCGTCACGATAAAATGTGTTCAGGAAGGAGCCTGGCGGGGCGTGGGGTACTCCCCATAATGGCCTTTGCCATGAGGCTCCACCTGAAAGGGCAAACTTTCTCAGGGTTCAGGTGAATGAGAGGGTCGAAAATCAGCGTAACCTACAGATGACTAGTTACATGCTTGCAGATAACTGTCTAATCTGTAGGTAGGGCGCGCAAAGCATGATTTTCAAGAGCTTTGTTAAAATCACGGCACCTGACTTGCCTGGTCTGTTGGACTCGTTATTCCGCGCGGCTGATGCATTTCAGGTCACGTGGTCCGAGGAAAGGAGTTAGGTTTTTCCCGCCCATTCGCTACGGATACATCACCGAAGTCAATTGACCGAGAAGGCCAATGGAAACGCCGTACAGGGACTCGGCAAGGCACCTAGCGAGAGGCATCTTTGCAAACAGCCATAAAAACATACTCGGTGTGTTTGTAGTTATTTTTTTCAAAACAATTTATAATGGAACAATTATTAGATTCTGTTTTGTTTTTTCAAGGTCTCGTTAAGTATTATCACAAAAATCACATCCAATAATTGTTTAAAATCTCGAAGATAGCACCAAAATTTCTGATAACGTTTATATCGTCCGTTATTGTTATCCGCTGCTACGTATAGCGTTAGGAGCCTTTAAAGCAACCATTGCCAACATCATTGGTCCTTTTTTGTTTCCCAGGTTTCCCTCTACTTTACCTGTAAGGTAAAGAAGAAATGAGAAATACTAAATTGCATCAACTCAGCATCCGCAGAGGATTTAGGCCGATGGGACTAGCCTGTACCTTCGT